AGTTGTTAAAGGTGACCATATCGAGGGTAAATTGCGTTTTTTTCGCACTTCAGAGCGGTCTAACTTTGCAGCCAGCGCACTTTTTGAGGCAAACCCTTTTGATTTCAAAATCCGGTATCAAGTAGGCAAAAAATGGAAAAAATCTGAGAGGTCGAGGTGCAAACTTGTGCGATTTGGCGTGGAATGTCCCATATATATATCATTTGTCAAACTTGATTAAGTAATGTTTTAATTAATTTATTGAAGTATTTGAGTTTTGATAATTTTTTTTGTTTTGTTGGTCCTTGTTTTTACTTCATTTGCTCTGTCTAGCAGAAAATTCTGTTAATTTCCTTTTGGTAGACCTAAAGAAGGATAAGAGTTCTTTTTATTATTTTTTCAAAGTGCACTCCTATAGCTATTAAAGCTAAAGATTAGTTGCAAGGGGAAAGAAGTGGTGTGTGGTAGAACACTCTTTAACATTTATGAAACTATTGATATCAGCACAAAGTAGTGATGGCGGAGCATGTTAGTCAGATTGTTTATGAATCTTATGTTTGTCTCGCTTCAACTGTTAGAATTTATTTCACTCATTTTTTTCACATTTCAGGCTCTTGAAATGACTTTCAATATTTGGTATCGTCTTTCAGAGTTCCTTTACGACAGAAATGATGATAGTCTGTCAGAAAAATTCAGACCATTTATTGAAAGGTTATTACACTAAACGGATTCAATATTGAGAACTTTCTTCTAATTAATTGTGTATTATTGTGTTAACTTTCGTGGTACTATTCGCACGTGCAAAAAATATTCTTTATCAGTGTAGGTATTTGCTGGCGTTGTACCGGCATTGTCAACTGGATCCTGATGAAAAAGACGTGCCAGATTACGAAGGTGAACATGAATATCGTTTGAAGATTGCTGATTCTATCAAAGATGTTGTTTTTATTGTGGGAACAGACAATTGTGTTAGCAATGTAGGTCGTTCTTTAGATTTCGAAAGCATATTTTGCCCAAGACACATGTGTTTTCTCGAATTTACGGGGTTGCGCAGAATGCTGTTTGTTCTTCTTTTTTTACTGTTGTGTCATTGTGCACAAATCCCGGCTGTCTATGCTGTGTTCAGATGATCACAATCTTGCATTCCTGTGCAATGGGTACTTGGGTTGAATCTGAAGCCGCACTTTACATAATATCGGTTGTAATACATAATGTGCTACCGTAAGTCAAGGTTTTTGCTTGATTAGGTTTTTAGTTCAGTAAAGTTTCTCGGTAAGAAACGAAAGTGTTTCATTTTATAAAGTCACATTCTTGGTTATATAAAAGATGCAAGGGATTAGAGCTGTGAAACTTCAAACGTCTTGGTAGTGTAGTTACCTTTGGTTTGCTGCCAGACACTATCCTTTTTGGCGCATTTCAATTTTTAAGGGTTGGATTTTCAAAATTATTATCTTGCAGAACAGAGGAAACTGTAGTTCCATCATTGGTAAGGGCGGTGCTGGAGCTTTCGCCAGACTCACATCCTGCACTTTTTCACACAGCTATTAGATTGTTCGGGAATCTTGTGGATTGGCTTGACGAAAATAAAGCCTACCGAGGTATTTTTTTTAATTTCTAAATATTTTCTTTAGCTTTAAAATGCTTTATAAGGTGGTGTATTTTCAGATGAGTGCATTGACTGGTTACTAAATAAGGCACAGAGTGAAATTTACGTGAGGGTTGCTGCAGAGTCATTGGAGACCATATTTGATAAGTGCGGGGCATCTCTAACAAAGTATTTTGAGAGGCTTCTTGCTCTAATACCTGTTCTTCAAAAAACTACGTCGAAAGGACAACAAGTTGAAGCATCAATTCTATCATTGTTGAAAGGTAATTCAAGGATTCCTGTCAAGCAGTGTCTGGTGTGCTTTAGCAATTGTTCCTTTGCTTTCTGAAGATTTTTAAAGCTATGATTTCCGTTTTTTTTGAGAATGGGAGTTATATTTCAGCAAGCGCATCATTATTAAATGGCCTTCCACCAGAAGAAATGGCATCATGTTTAAAGGTGATCACAGACCCTCAAACTGATCGCTTGGCTTTGGCAAGTCATTCTTGTTATTATTTTAAGTACTGTCATCGTTTTTTGCACGGGATACGATTTTTTTATATGTTTTTACTTCAACATCCTAAACAGTTGGATGCGGTGACTGCATTTATTTATCTTTGCATCTATCGCGTATTGGCAAGCTTCTTTTCCAGGCTTTTAGAACGACTGATTTGTTTATCATTTTTTAAACTTTTTACATTATTACGATTTATGTACAAAAAGAATTTAAATTGCGATTGTCGAACAAGATATCTTGTCAAAATGTTTGTTTAGAGCAGTGACAGCGAAGCTGCTAGTGTTGGAAACTATACGGCTCAGTATTTCTTCCTTTACAGTCATGCTATTTGTACACATCGTTTTATTTTAGTAATGTTTGCGGCAAGCAAGCAAAAAGTTTTGCCGTCTTAAGGAAAAGCTTCTTTAATGCCATTCAATTTTAGCTCTTCCTGAGTAGAGGAATCTTAGCAATATTATCTTATTTTTTCTGTCCCCTTTCTTGGAAGTTGCTTGCCATTAATTTTTTTCAAAAAATTTTTTGCATGCGTTTTTTACTCTGTAATACATATTAACACAAAAATCGGAAAAATAAGCAGCTACTATTGATTCTTTCAAAAATTTTTTCTTTTTATGGTTTTGTTCAGTTGAGAGTTATTGCGATGGATTCATATTTCAAGTTGTTTTTGCTTTTTTATATAAACGCTTTCTTTTCCTCCTTTCTATTTTAGTCGAAGTTGATGGCAAAATTTTTTTTTCCTTATTTAGTCAAGTAAAATTTATTGATTTGAAATAGCACAGTTTGGAGTCGTTCCCCGTTTACTGCGCTGAGCTTTACCTGTCTTTTTCACTGATTTTCGAGTGCACTTAATGCTTTTGCTTCTTATCATTTGTTTTTTTTTACCCTGTACAGTTTATTAGAGCATTCACTCGCGAAAAACTAATAATGACATTCTTTTGCGACACTTTTTGGTCTAATAGTGCAGCCAATTACTCGAGCGCTAAAGAAAATTTTTTATTAAACTTTTGTTGCGCTTATTAGTGTATATCATGATTGTTAACTCTTTGCTTGCTGAAGGACATATTTCTTTTGCACTCTATACGGAAAGACTCAAAAACTCATTTTACAAAAGATTTCACGCACTCGACAGCCGTCAAGAGGCGTGACGAGTAACGCTGCGTTTATGACTCGCGAAATACCTTTGATTTTAATGGGTAAGCTGAAATATTGATGTCTGATTTACGTTCTTATGTTGTTTGACTACCCTGTCAGACACGTAGGTGAATGGTATTTCACAGCTTTGTGCCATTGGTACACTTATCAGTGCTGCCCAAATCAGTTATTTCTTGGGCGTATTTGGGTGGTTATTTTTAGGTTTCTAGTCTCAAAACCATTCATTCTCTAGAAGTTCCATGGTTCTGATCGAAAATGTTTTGTTTCTGTGTGGTGTTCAGTTGTTCTGTTATTTCTACAATGAAACTGTGCACTAGGTTTTTGAAAGCCACTTCGGAACACTGCAAAGTTTTTACCTTTACTGTTTCTTAGATAAGTTCTTGTTTCTCGGAGCTTTCATTTTATCTTCATCCATCTCTTTCTTACTTCATCAGCAAATTAATTTGAGGACTTAATTTGAGCAGTACAAATAATATGTGACTTAAGCCTTTTTCTTCGTGATTCAACTGTTTTGGAATGCAGTCAAGCTTTGTTTAGTCGCATTTGTTAGTGTTATTTTTACCAGGGTTTCGCAACCTTCATTTACGAGAGTTTACTTTAAATAAAGCCTGCTTCCGTTCTCACCTTTTTATTTATTTGCTTATTGGTGAATTTGTAGCCTCATTTTTACACAAAGTTTCTGTTGTTTAAAAAGGAGTTTTCTGCATGTCATATAAGTTTTAAGAAATAGGAAATGGGTTTATTTTATCAGCAGTGGTATTCTAATATGGCCAAGCGGAGTGAATTCGTAGCGTAAGCTATGATATGCAAAGCTGCCGCATAAAAAACTTTATTTATTTTTCATTATACTTTTGGTAGGCAGTGACTGAGTTTGTTGTTAAAAGTAATGATCGATTTTTTCACCTAGCGATCGATCCTTTTAGCTCTGCATTTCTGGATTTTTGAGAACTTATTACTTCTTAAGCGAGTTTTTTTTCAGTTGATTACTTCAGCTAAGGATACCCTGCCTAATGGTTCTTCACCATCATCTCAAACAAATAACGAGAACTGTTCTGATGCTTGGGTGCAACTCACCAATGATCCGGTTTTGTGGATCGACCGTATTGCGGCTATTTTTAGACAACTCCAGCCGTGGCAAAGTCAACCTGCAAAATCAACGTCTCCGAATAACAGTAATTATGATATTTTTGAAAATTATTCTTTTATTTTTTCTCTTTATGTTGTTTTGTTTAGTTCGTCTTATTTTTCTTATTTTTTTGACTTTATTTTGTTGAAAAACTTGTGTGCAGCTGTAGAGGATCAATTATTTAGTCAACTGGTAATTTTTCAGACGTAGCTCCCGTTCCCTTTCTTGATACTGTGAATAAGGTTTGGCCAGTTCTCTCTATGGCGCTAAACAAATTTGAGGACAATACGAGGGTTGTGGAGCACCTCTGTCGAACAATTCGGTTTCTTATTCGTTCACTTGGAGTTCAGTCTATTATATTTGTCGACCCGTTGGTTCATCAGGTTAGTTAGATAATAAGTTCTTAGAAATTACCCTTTTTAAGGTACACAAACTTTCATTGCGCAGTTGCCAAAATTTTAGTTATATCATTCAGATGATCGACATTTACAACCGTCATCAACATTCTTGCTTTTTATATTTGGCTAGTATACTAGTGGACGAGTATGGTCAGTTAGAACACTACAGGCAGGGTCTTGTGCTTATGCTACAGGTACTTAACATTTTATTGGTCACATTTCCTCAGTAATTTAGTGCCAAAGTATTTGAAATTTCTAAAGTGATATGTAGGCGGGTATGATAAGGGCTCTTGCATTCAATTCTTAAATGCTACACTCACGCGTCTTTTCTTAATTCCTACTTTTTATGAACTCAGATTTTTCAAAAAACGTTCAAATAGCTGAAACTTTTCATTCTACTTTTTATTGTTTAAGTCAGAGAGTTTCATATCTAAACTTGGTTAATGAGTGATTCCGACCGCATACAGTCCCTATTCTTGTAATTAAATTATTCTATAATTAGGCATTATCTGAAGAGTCTTTCAAGCTGCTTCTTCGTTCTAATAATTTTCGAGAACATCCAGATACAATTGACGATTTGTACAGGCTTGGTATCAGGTTCACTTTTTCTTGGATTTTTTGCTCTCAAAGAAATATTTGCTCCAGCGCTGTGCAGAATTTTAATATATGAATTTTATTTTTTTTTCAGTATTTTGCTAATGAAACAAGAGGTTGGGAACCCTTAGTGAAAATTAATGCATAATTTCATCAGAGTGTTACCTTGTTTTAAGCCTAACTTTTTCATTTTTTTCTTCTTGCTCAACTTGGATTTCTATTTTCATTCTTGTTCATGGTAGGTGAGAGAGTTGTCATTTCCTCATTTATTTCAATAATTGGGTCATGAATTAGCTTTAGATTTGTGCATCGTGCTGCATCCGTTTTCTTTATATTACCCGTCTGTGAGCGTCTATTTGAGTGCGGTATATCTGCGCTTGACGTTGATCACGTCGAAGCGAATCGGTCTGTTACGAAGTTCTTTATAGAGTCTGTTGACTCAATTTTGATTGCAAGAAAGGTAAATTTTTCGCTAATGGTTCATCTCTTTTCTTTATTTTATAACGCCTCGAACGCTATAAAATCTGTTTGTGTTGAGCGATACGTTCATTGTTCTCATGGCTGTTTTGTTTTAGGATGTTATGGCTTTTGATATAAGCTGGGAAGGGCTGCAAAAAATATTTTCTTAAAATACATTTTTTGCTTTCCAGGCGAATTATCGAGACAAAGGCGTTGAAGGTGCAGAAAGTTTATTGGATAAGTACGGCGAAAGATTAGTGTCGGGTTGTTTGAGGGCTTCGATTTTCTCAGTAACAGGATCTTTGAGGCGAGACATGGCTGAAGTGATTTTTATGATCGGAAAGATGTCGAAAGAGGTAACCTTTTTTTGAAAATGATGCAGTCAAGTTCTTTATCTCTATATAATTCTAGATAATACTAGTAAAGAAATGATCAGAGTCTTGTGTGGTAAAATTTTAGAAATTATCGGAGTGGCTAAATAGTGCGTTAGGTACCCTACCTAGAGATGTTGGGCTAGCAGCAACGACACAACAGTTACAAGGATTTCACCGGAATGTTCTCGAGTTGGTTTTTTTTTAACTTTGATTATTGTGTAATTTTAGAATCTTGTATCTAAATGATTTTTCAGTTTGCATTCTTTTTGAAGATGTTTGATATTTCTTGCATTTTTTTGGTCAGTAGTTTAACTACAGAGTTTCAAGTAGGAAACCCACTTCATTTATTTTTTTAGAGCCAAAGAACTGCGTCACGTCTTTGGAGAAATTAGGAACCTTATCAAGTTGTACGTATGATGAAATTTGTATTGCATCCCGTCCTGATTTGAAGAAGCTATTTCTCTTCGGTGTATTTTTCATTATTATTTTGTATAAAAGGTTTGTATTGCGAAATTGCCTTTTAAATGTGTCAATAATTTTTGTCATGTATTTGGAACATCTTCGGCTTTTGGTGGTATATGAATATGGAATAGGAAAACTGTCGAAGGACTTTTTTGCTTTTGTCACATTTAATTTCATGAATCTTATTTTTTGGTTGTCCTATTGCTCATGAATTAGTCGTTAAAAAGTCAAGATCGCCTGCTTTAAATTAAAGAACGACGTACGTTCTTTGATGCAATGACTTTTTTTGTTTTGTACCTTTCAGCATTCTTTTTTACTAGCTTGGCAATTCACAAAATAATGAAGCAAGGTCATTTTGCGCTCTTAATTTCTTCTACTCTCGTTTTACATAACTTTATTTCCATGCTTCAACTTCGCTGTTGTTCTTTTTTTTTCTGTATATGAGAGTTTCTTTTTTTTGCAGCTTGAGTGGTTTGTAGAATGCTAAAAATATTTTTGCCTGTGTGTAGAAGTTTAGTTTGGAATCTAACGATCATGGTCCTTTACAGTCTTCTTTGGTTTATTTGCTTTTTTGCTTTTAAATTAAAATTTTTTTTCTTCAGGCAATGTGAATTTTTTCATCTTTCTGAGGCTGTTGATGTTAGGTCGGGCTGTTGATGTTGATGTTAGGTTGATGTTAATCTTTATTACCTGTTGTCATTTACTGCAGTAATGCGGGGATCTTGCAACCTGTGACTGTTATTACCGGTATCATCTAGGGATTTTTGAAAAAGAATTCTCTTGACATTTTTTTCGTCTTCTACTTTTCTGCTCTCAGTTTGTTTTGAGATGCTGTTTTGTGTTTAGCTTTTACTAAATTAAAATAACTCGTTATGTTCTTATGAATTGCTTAAGTGTGAAATAAGCCTTAAATAAATTTTTTGCCTTAGACTTCACTGAATCAATTTTCCACGTAAATGTCCGTTTATTTATATAAGTATTTATCGTGCTGAGGTGTGCTGGTTATTAATAACTGTTATATTTTTGCGAAAAGAGATATTGTGGTGCCGATTATGGTCAAAGATTTGGTTTCCATTATGACCGCCAATGAGTTTTCAGGGGTCAAGGTATGGATCCCACAGAGGGAGAATCTCTTCGACAACAGCCAGTTAGTACAGGTATTATCAGTTCACTATCTTTAGGCTAATTTTCATTTATAAGTCTTGATTACTCGTAAGGTTATCCATAAAGTGTAGCTTCTTGTACCTGTTGTACTTTTGATTTAGTTACTTCTCGACTACGAATGTTTGAGGACCAAAATCTCGCGTTTCGTTTGCAAGACGAAGAATTTAGTCAGCATTACGCTCTGAATCGTGCTCAACGGCAGTTAGTTGGTAGGGATGTCAGACACTCTCGTAAAGAACAGGAGACAGAAAATCGTAATGCACGGCTTCTAAAGCAAAGGGAATTGGAAGCTATGTAAGTTGGGCTGGTGCCAAACAACGTTTCGTTTTACTGAGTAGAATTTAAATTAGGGGCCTCATCTTTACTGCTTTTATCTTTTATTTGTTGATGCTTCGATGGTGTTTAACTTCAGTGATTTGTGTAATTTTTCTGTCTTTGAGATTTAAGAAAATATTTTTAGATATTCCTTCCGCTTTTTGAGGATTTTGTTTCAGAGCAGCTGATGATGCTGTTCTAGCAGCTAGGCTGCAACAACAATTCGAAGAAGATGAAAGACGGCAGAAACAACGAATTGCAGAATTAGATGCAGAATTTGCGCGGAATTTAGCAATTCGCGAACGGCGAAAGCATGATGAGGCACGGATTACAGCATTTCAAGTGCTTTCGCTTGACAAAACAAAAAAATTTTGGTATATCAGGAGGTAATTGACAGAACAACTTTTGTTTTTCTAACTCTCCTCCTTATTAAAGAAACAACGTGCTCGCATTGAAGCTGCGGATGGACAGTATGCACGGAACTTGCAGGACTACTATAACGCCCGTTTGAAGAGCCACAGCCGGAATGAAAATTTACAGAAGATGACATCCCGTTTATCTTCATTAATTAAGAAGGGGTTAAAACAACACGGTTAGTAAAACCCGGATCTTTTGTGAATTAATTTACTGAATATTTTTTTGTGTGAGACAAACTTTTCATTCAGTTGCCTTAGGCAGGGGTGCCTTCTTGATCTTTCCTTCCAACGTCTAGATTGATCCGATCGTTTGAAATATATATCTACGTACGTTTCGTCCCAGATATCCCGGCAGAGGAGGAAGATGAGCTAAAATATGGGCATGTCTTTTGATGAGGCCTTTCTGTCATATGTCAGAGCTTGTTCTCAAAGAACTCATTTAGGTCGATGGTCCATTTATCTTTTACATGATATATTATTTTATCAAGATGAGAAAGCTCACGAGATTTAAGTGTCAGTAAGAAACGGTACTCTTAACACCTGCTAAAGTTTTCAACAGCAGTGATACCAATGTTAGGAGATGTTTGAGATTACTGAATTTAGTAAATATCCATAACTCTTTGGAAGAAAAGTGTACATTATTGTGTTTCTAGGAGCATTTGTTTGAAAAGCTTATACAGTTAAAACCCGTTCTCTGATTATACTTTTATTAGGAGCTAATAATTCACTTAAAGCACAGTTAAGGTACTGTCTATTTCCGTCACAAAAAAAAACGCTGAATTTTTTGACGGTTACCACTAAAACGTTATTTTTGACAGGTGAATGAGAATTCAGACTAGAGGGTGGGAGAATTCATCTCAAATTTTCTTCATTTTTCTACATAGCATAAAGTCTCTCTTAATTCTTCTGCACTCCTTCTCTATTCCTACAGGTTTCTTTGACTATAGGAACTGCTTTTCTTCCATCGGTTGTTTCGTTTCTTACTTCTCCACTTATTACAGTACTCCATTGCTTTTACGTTTCGGTTTTGAATTGTGCGGGTTGCCCAGAAACTGTTTGACACTTAAAAGATCTATTAATGAAAGCGGGGTAGAAGTTAACTTATTTTTTGCTTTTATATTTTAGATCGTAGCTCACAGGCGTCGCGTGGATCAGCAATGAGAAGTAATGGTATTTGGGAGGATGCTGTTGATGAGAGGACTCAAAATGAGTTGGTATGGTCACTGATTTAACAACACCTGAGAAAACTGCTTGAATGGCATCTCTTTTGTTTCTCTTTCTACACTGCTTTGTGAGAAAAAAATTAGCACCACATCGTTGGGTATTGAGTATTAATTATAGGTATGTACTGAATGATACTAGTGGCTCCAAAGAAGCTCATTTCATTATTATACGCAGTGAATTTTAGTAGATTCTTTTTTTTAAAATGGAAGTATTCGTCTCAGAAAAATATTCATTTCCAAAGCTTTTTACTTTGGCGGCTACTCCACCTCTTTTTACTTAACTTTTATATGCGGGTTCGGTGCAAACATTTGTTTTTTTCCCGTATAACATTAATCAATGACTTGTTATAGACGTAGTTTTAACCGCATGGAGCCAAATTCAGGATGTTCTTGTAAAATTTATATTGCAGAATGCCGAAATGGCGAATGCTGCAAACAGACCCAGAAGTTGTGATGACCCTCCACCTGCATATTCTTCTCTAGACCATCCTTTATCTCCACTGTGTAGTAGACCTTACCCATTGGCGACTATTGCTACGCGTGACTCATCGTCACCAAACCAAATTGGATATTGTTCAACTTGTAATTCACGTATTGGTTATGACCCTGGTAATTCACGACAAGAAGAGTCTTCAGTTCCGCAGCGACCCTATATTGCACCCACTGATTATCCTGCCCAAAACGCTGTGCCGCCTTTGCCTAGCCGCAGTAATGACGTCGTTAGCATGCCACAGAGTCAGTGTCCTGCACCACTTCCTCTACCTGCGTTAACCCAAGGAAGTTATGGCTCTTGCAACCAGCAACCTTTCACCGTTACCTCGAGTGATAATAACAGTAGTTCAAGTGTCTCTGCAACCTCCGCCCCTAATGACAGTATATTTGGTAGATTTCACCCTACCAACCCCTTTATTGCTGACTTGATTGGTTCGAATACGGTTCAAACACAACAGGATAGCAGAAGTTCCCCACCAAGAGATCCAAATCCTTCTTCCACATTTGTTCATAAGTATGTTAAGTATTTTTTCTTCCTATATTACATCGCCAGTAGACATACCTAAAGTTGGGAGGGACATAAGTGTTAGCGCAGA